AAAAAAAAAAAAAAATTAGCTGGGCATGGCATGTAGTTACAGTTATGTGGGAGGATCCCTTGAATTCAGGAGTTCAAGGCTGCAGTGAGCTATGTTCACAACACTATACTTCAGCGTGGATGACAGAGCAAGACCCTGTCTAAAATTTAAAAAAAGAAAAATAATAGTAGATAAAAGTGATAAAAGTATGTTTTAAATAACTTAAAACTTTAACAGCCTGTTTCTTAAATACCATGCAAATAATTTCATGAGAAAGAAAGTTCTGATAATTTTAATAAATGACTTCACATTTACAGTGCTGGTGTTTTTATTGCTTAAACTGAATTAGATTTCTCAATAGCTATTTTTAAAAACTGCCATAGGAAGGCATATCTATTGTATTTTTTAGAAGCAAGCCGGTTTCTACAATATTATTCATGTTTTGTAAACAGCATCATTGAACCTGCACATAAAAGGTTAAATGCTTGCAGACCGTTCTTTTTAGCCTCAAAGATCAGAGACAAATTACTATTTTTATTTTACATTCCCTTGATGAGGATAATGTTAAACAGCTGTCACTTCAGTGCTTCAACTGCAAAGAATCTTATTGCAATCCTATAATTTAAACAAAGAAAAAATACAGTCATACACAATATACATACAGAAAAGAGCACAATGGAGAATTTGGTTAGAACTGGGGTTAGAGAAAAGGGAATGCTTGCTGTCTGCAATTACTCACGTAAAAGAAAAATTCCATTTATATGCATTTTTCCCATTCATCGTAGACATTGGTAGAAGGGGCAGTTTACTGTTTCTTTCTTTCTGAAATGAGGAAAGAAATCAAATTTGCATTCTGAACTCTGTGAGTCCCCATGATGTTTACTGTATTATCAGAATAGTTAATATTTGCATGTCACTACATGTCTTCAGGTATTTCCAAAAGCTAACAAATATTTCAAATTGTTTTACTGATTATTTATTAAAGCCTCTAATTTTTTTAATGCTAAGAATTAAACCAGAGTTCTCTGTTCACTCTGATACTTTGTTTTCTAATTGCATCTGGTTTCAAAAAGTGAAAGTCAGTATCTTTTGCATATTTTGATATGCAAAATAATGAAGCATGGATAAATGTTAAGAAAGCTGTGAAACTGGGAAATTTACTATTTCTATATAAAAATGCAGATGGTAATATAATTTTCCTGGTGTTTCATATTCCTAAAGGTGAATTTAATATATGTTATTTATTCTGCTTTTCTTCTTTAGCTCAATTATTTCTTTTTTATAAATATCAGCACTTCAAGGAATTTTTCTAGAAACTCTCTTTATACTTTGGTTTCTTAATACCTAAGGAAAAAATTTGGCTTAAAATAATATTTATCTAACATTTATTGAACAAATTTCCATTCTCAGAGCCTGAATATATTCTTTTATAAGTTGACAATAGCAGCGATACCCATGTCCTAAGGTTGTGGTATACAGATCTATATAAAGTACATAGCACAGTACCTGGAAAACACAATATGTACTCAATAAGTGTTCCTGGGATTGGTAGTTGGTTTATGCTGAAATGCTGTTACCCACTACTGCTAAACACAATGATAAAATCCAAAATCCAAGAATGTTTTAGATCAGAGAGATGAATAGAATTGTATTGTATTCATAATGGAGGCTTATAATTATTTAAATAGAAGATGTTTTCTTCAGAAAGCTGTAGGTCATCTGTTCTCATTTATATATATATATCACTTTATCATTCTCATTATCATCAAGTTGCAGTAGCTCCTAACTCCTCAACTTGGAGTTTCTCTGGTCTCTGGTTTCTCTTATAAGTAGGCTTTCCTGAAGACCCTAAAATGCACTGGAGCCTCAGAAATGTCCTCATAGTATTGTCCTAAATCATGCGGTCATACTCTCAGGACTGGGAAATGAGTTGAGCATGCATTATTTTAACGTGTTTTTTAGAACAATAGATATTTCTGAGTGAGAAACCCTATATAAATGATTAGAACAAATTCTATCATTATTATTGATTTTGTGGCCCATCAGTATGCTTTTCACTCATGCATATTGATTCAAAGGAAAGGCTTGTCATTTAATATCCAATTAAGCTATTTAGCATAGTGCTATGCCTAGAACTGACTGGATGATTGAAAACCTGGCAGATCAAAGTATGTACATTTCCAAAATAAAGTACTTCATGTCTACATGGAAGCAATAAATTATTTCCCCACTTTACATTCATAATTAAATCTTTCCAAATGCTAGAAAGTAGCCAGACCACTAACAATAATACCTGTGTCATGTTCTGGGGCTTAGATGGTTCAAGCTGACTTGAAATGGAGACCATTTGTTCTAAATTGATTTCAATGCCAAGCCAATAGGTCAGCCCTTAATGATGAAGATGCGATTCCAGCTCAGCCTCTGATGGACAAGCCAACATTAATTAACTCAAGTCTCATAGTATAGAAAACAGATGCTTTTCTCATGTTGCAGAAATAAATTCTTTGTGTATAGATGTGTTCTGTTTTATTCAAATAATAACAAGTTGGAAGTTATAATTGTAAGTTTTTCACAATGGAGACAGTCTTTAGTAGTGATGACAGAAGCATGAGTTTATATAACAAATTCCAGCAAGTGCATGGGAGAAGGAAATTATCTTTTGTATCTCTTATTTTGGCTTCAGGCCAGCCCTATAAAATTTAGCTTTGAATGTGGGTGGATCCAAATGCTGATCCATTCCAGAGCAGACCTAGAAGTGCCAGAACAATACCAAGTTTATTTCTAATCTATAGAATCCCTGGAGACTCCTCTCAGAGGTTTACATTTGCATCATATGTTTGGATTCAATTCTTTGGCCAGCTTGCATATGGCTTAAGCTTAGATTGTTCTCTGGAGGTATGTTGTTAGGTATACTGTTTATCTGGTTATTCGTCTCAACATTCATTCAGAATTAGGAAACTTACTTGCTTTCCCTAGAATGTGGCAGTTGAGTAATAACTGTAGGTTCCCCCATCTCCTTTCAGAACCAGTGGATGCATGATAACATAAAAATGTTACCATCTACTGATATAAACTCCAACTATGCTAATCAGAAGTTGATCATCTGATAACGTGTGACATTTCACTTTCTTCTGAGTGAATATGAGATAATCCATGGTTTGTTTGTTTTCATTTAGGCTGAAAATGATGAGAATGGCCAAGCAGAAAACTTTTCCATGGACCCACAATTGGAGAGGCAAGTGGAGACCATTCGCAACCTCGTAGACTCCTACATGTCCATTATCAACAAATGTATCCGAGATCTAATTCCAAAAACAATAATGCATCTTATGATTAATAATGTAAGTGATTATAAACTGCTTTCATATAACTTCTAACCCATCCAAGTGTAGAAGCTACACATATTCTCTTCAGTTTCTTTGTGTATTTTCTGGATGGTTGAAATACTATTACCCAGGTTCATCATTTTCCATTACACGTGATATGTGACTGACCAATGAAAGAGAACTTAGGGAAGAAAACTTAAAACTTCTAGCTATAGGACTGAGGTATTCTCCACTGGCTGTCTTCTAGAATAGTGCAAGTTTGCTTACAATAAAGCAGAACAAAAACACCATAGTTATGGGCATCATGTAAATTAATTGCAAAACCAGCAATAAAACCAGATGCCCTGGCTCCTAGACTTAAAGATTAAAGGCAAAGGATATATTTGTTCTTAGGCCTGCACGTGTGCATGCATGCACACACACGTATAAAATATGTTAACATGATTATTTTCAGCTTCTAAAATCTATGGAATCCTATTTTAGCCTGGGAAAGAGCTTCTTGCTTTATTCCCTTGGATAAAAAGTCAGCACATTTCATTTTTCTAAGTTAAGGATGCTATAACCTCAAATCTGAAAGTATCCTGCTAGACTAGCCATCAATGGGTCTAAATAACCTGTTCAAGGTTATTTATAGTAGTCAGAGTATGATACTTAAATTATGTGGTCTGATTTAATTTTTGGTAGTTAACTTTTTACAGTACAAATAATACCACAAGTTATTTGAGAAATAATCTTTTAGATAAGATAGGTGTTTTATTGGGGGCTTTTCTGAATCTTGACAAGTAAGACACCAATAATTTAATTCCTAGTTATCTTCTGAGGACATCTTTTTATTTAATCCAATGATAAATTATGAGCAGTGCTTGTAAGAAATTAAAATTAGATGGCAAAGTAGTAAAGAGAGCCCAAAGTAGAACTTAGGAGAATCCTGGGTTCTAAACCTGGTTCTGCTACAGACTCTATTAACCTAAGGTGAGTCTCTTTCATGTATCTGTTTGTGCCATATGTAAAATACTAATTGTAGTGAGTGTGTCTGACTTAGGGATTTGTTCCTGAAGTTAGTACATATGAAAGTACTGTGAAAAATATAATTGTAAGAAATTAGTTTGGGTGCCTATTTAAGAACTGTAAATAGCCCTTATTTATATTTCAAGATTCATTTCAAAATTTTATTTCTAAATAAGACAGTCCATTCATTGTCCATGATCTCTGCATTTCTTGACTATGATAAACCCCAGTCACTCACATAAACAATCTTGTTTTTAAATAACACTATTTTCTTATACATGTGTATTCAAACAAGATTAGCTGGAGGCTTTGAAGAATCAACAACAGGTAAGCAATCAGTTAGAAATGGGGAAACTATGAATTATATTCTTAACCTTGACCAGTGGTTTGCTGTGTAACCTGAAGCAAATCATTGCGCCCCTTTGAGTTGAAGTCAGTCTCTTCTAAAACTACAGTAAGAACATTGAGGTACTCACAGAACCATCAGAGATTATAATAAATGTAGCTATAAGCCATTTAGAAAAATATAAAGTACTAAACAAATAGTCTGTGTACTTTTAAAATTACCCTCTTCATTTACTTAAATGAATTCGGATTGTTTTGCTGTGGTATATCCAGGCACTTGCTTATTTAAACATTTTGCTGATTAAGGATCATTTATCTTTTCACTGTTTCACAGAGTCATTATTGCTGCCATCAATTCAAACGCTGCTTTGCTCTGCACTATATTAAATCATCAGCACAGGAAATAGCACTTCCTGTCTATTGCTGTGAGGAGTAGCTTGACACAAATTAGCTAAAAAGAAAAAAAAAAAAAACCTGTTGCAAATCTATCCTACTTTCACCTTCTCAAGAAAAACATACACACATGCACACACACATACCCACATGAACACATACATACACACACACACACAAAAGAAAGGAAGAAAGAAATGCAGGGGTAGTTTCCCTGACTCTTCACTGTTGTATTTTCTTGCTTTAATGAAATGGCTAAAACTCCACCTACAGGATATTATCCTCGGAGGTAAATCTCTGATAGTTGTCTTGAGAGAGACCTCACATAAGAGTCGTGAGAAAGGAGACTTCAATTGAGATCTGATCCCAAGGTCAAATCTTGAAGCAAAAACTAATAGGAATGTGGAGAAGGCAAAAGTATCACGTAGTGCTGAATTCTTTTGAAATTGTGGCTTTCTTTGTTTGAAATTTAACTTTTTGTATCTACCAGAAATTAGTTTTATATATCTAGAATGACTGCTTTTCTTGAGTATTATTTTATGTGCTTTTTAAACTTAAATATGAAAAGGTATCATTTTATACATAATACATATATATTTTTAAATTATATGTGTATAATTCTATATATGAAAAATATAGATCTCTGCTATTAATGTGGTCATATTCTCATGGCATCTTATTGTACAGAATGCCCAAACCTTTTTTGTTCATTCCACATGACCTGTTGAGTCCAAGGAAACTGAAACAGTGAACACCCAGCACTGTGCTATCTAGATGTATTTATTTTTTAATTTGATTCAAAGTGAAAAGAACTTCAAATGAGAGAATAATGAAATCACAACTAGAAAACTAATCTTTTAACTCCTAATTCTAAATTCCATTCACTTAACCCTGCTGCACGTTTAAATGAGTTTGGATAAAAAAGCTAATTGTTCCTCCAGAATCAATAAATGCCTGAAACAGGGTCCTCTGTTTCTTCCTAGTCTATCAAAAGCGCCTGTTCTGGCCTTTCCTCTTTGAAATGAGAATGAAAAAGAATATGTTTCGGCCTTCTGAAAAAGAATATGTTTCAGCCAACGTTCATAAAGTTCAGAATTTGGTGGGCAGTTTCCTTTGAAAGTTTACATTAAGTGTTCTGCCACTCAAGTCTCCATATGGAATTGTTTAAGAAGTTTAAAGCCTAGCAATAAATGCCTTGCCTCAGACATACTGTAAGCCTTTGTCTATTGAAATGCAGCAGCTGTTTCGTTACTTAAACATACCAGGTAACAGCAGCACAAAGAAATAGCAAGTTTATGACAGACAGTGGTTCTGGACAGGCTACAGTCAAAGCAGCAGAGTTTTGCTCAGGACTTTAAAGCTAACATACACTTAACACCCCATGGTAAGCCCATTTGGATGGCGTTTTCTTCATAGCTCACCCCACCAGAAGTCCTCCATCAAAGAATGAAGTGGATCCAGCTTTATTCTAAAAATGTGTTTGGTGTGGCAAAGTGGCACATAATTCTGTTTGAACCTGTCAGACAACCACATATTGGATACCCGTTATTTTCCACAGCTTCTAAGTAAAGAAATTGAGGTTCTGAGAGGTTGACTTGCCCAACATCACACAGCTGGGGTTGGCAGAATCCAGTCGGAAATCCAGGTCTTCTCACTCATAGTCTGATGTTCTCACCATTTGAACACTGGATAATGTATGTGACAGGGTTAGGAAACTCTAAGTCAGTGCTCTCAAACTAGAGGACTCCTACGCCCACAGCGTATGCATGAGTTATTTTCCCAGAGGGTTAATTTTACTTGATGATTTAATTAGGATTTATTTGAAGATGAGAAACAGTGTTTTAAATCTTTCTCATATTTAAACAAAACCAGATAATACAAAAGAAGATGTAAACGTTTTTAGGAATTTTTTTTAAAACAAAATTTGAAACATAGAGCCATTTCACACTGGAATGTGCTGCAGCCTAAACCCCTGGACCCCTCTGGAGGTCCACATTCACTCTCTTCAGCCGTTGGCATTTTGGTGGAAAATTAGTAACACGTGCCCTAGTTTCAAAATTTGCTGTAACTTTAATGTGTATGAAGTAAAGTGTTATTTTAAATGTTCATTATTTTAGGGGAAAGTACATCTTAAATACCAGATCTTTATCCTGGCATTTAGAGCATTGATTTGTTTCTACCGGCCAGGAATTCAGCACACTGCTCAAGAAAAAGATCATGACTAGGACTCCATAAGCCCCACTCTCTTCTCCTCTGCCCCTACCTCCCATCATCACTCCCTGCCAAGGCTAACACTCTTCTGCTTTCTTAAATTGTAGACTAGTTTCACCTCTTTTTGCACTTGGGAATCATATACTATACGCCTTTGGTGTCTAACTTCTTTTGCTTAACATTACGTTTGTGAGTCAAAGGATGTTACTTTTTAAAGAAGGAAAACTTCTTTGGTCTTTAGCAGAATTAAATCCCTGGGAAAAGGAAAGAAGCCCTAAGTAGATATGAGAGAATTGTGAGATCTCAAAGAATCACAAAATTCTAACTAAGTCCCCTCCCCAAAACTAGACAAAGTTAAACTTCCCAATTAAATTTTAATACATATGTTATGTGAATGAGAGGTATCATTGTGTTCTGTACTGTGGCCCTCCAATTCTAGAAACAAAGAGATTTTAAGGAAATGGTCTCCCTGGTAACTGAAATGTAGGAAACTGTAGGAAAACCCTAGAAATGTCTCTTCTGTTTGTGAAGGGTTTAAAATGGTCTCAGTCACAGCAAAGAAGGTTTAAGATCCAAATATATTACGGGTTGCTAGAGAGGGTTAAAGTAAGAGAGGAAAACATGTGGAACGTTTTTAATGACCTCACATTCCTTTACACTGAGCAGAGCGACATGGTGCAGTAATGCCTGTTTATCTAGCCTAGAGAGTTTGAGCTGGAATGAGGTTTCATGTGTGAGAACTTTTATAAACCATACGGAGATGTATAGGTTATAAGGTGTTATAATTAAAAACATAAATATTATTTCAAATCTCAAATTTAAGTATAATCACTTTGTTATGTTCAGTGAAGTAGTTTCTAAATGCTGTCATCTAAAAGGGATTCACTTGGCCCCTAATTGTCATGCAGAATTCTTGATTTAAACATTTGTACCACTGGCATACAGACTTCTTAGAAAGTCCCTGAAGTGTCTGGAAATTCCCATAAGTCCCCCTACCTTTGTTCCAAACTCCAATTGTAGTGTCACAAACTAGATTAGCAGAAGGAGAGAAGAGTCTCTCTAAAATTTTGCTTAAATGCAAAATAAAATGTTAACCTATATTGTTTATTTAACTGTCGCTTGATACTTGCATTTTTGCAACAGCTGTCTATTATTCTCCTGCCTCTATGTACCTAATGCCAGTTTAGCCTTTAGACAGTAAAAATCACAGCATTTTTTGGAAGGGGTACTAACTGTACGCTAGGCATCATGCTAGACAACTCATATTCATTATTTCCCTTAATCCTCACAATACTGTGGTAGCTCTACCATTATCCCTGTTTTACAGATGAGGAACTTGAGACTCAAACAATTTACATTATTTGCCCAAAAACACTAAGTGTTAGAACTAGAACTCAAATCCACAGCATATGCTCTGAATCCACTGTGTTGTACAGTGGGCAAGTTCTAGTGTGTTATAATTGATGTGGAAGATTCAAGGCACATCTTTGGTCAGAACGTTGAAACAGGCCCTTATTTTATTTCATAGTTTGACACTTGATT